CGGTAGTGAAGCAAAGTTGACTACTGTATGACAAATGTGTCGGTCAAAACGGTTACAAATTTGTGGACATCGTGTGTTTGGGCCGACATTAAGCAGCCACTGCGTCCAGCCCGAGGCGGGAAATCGTGCTCCCTCGACGGGTGCTTTGGACCTTTCTTTAGCACGCCTTTGTTACGCAGTGAGATATTCCGCCCCGCCTAAGTTTAGAAGCAATATGCAGCGAAGATGGTCAAAACGGCGACTAAAGTGTAGAAAGTGCGTAAGAGCACCGGCGGTGGTTGAACCCACGACCGTGGGGCGCGGCGGCCAGCACGTGTCCCCGGCGAAGGCATAATTTCTCACCTACAGTGGCCATTCCGATCCGCGGCGCTGGGCGCTGCGCCCGCCTTGCCGTCTGCAGGCGGCCTCCAGGCGGCGCCCCGTCGCTCTGTCTCTCTCGCACGCCCCCGGACGCCCCACGAGTGCGAGAGAGACGGAGCCACACTGTTCCGAATCAGCCGTCTGGGGCTTTAATTAAATTTTCTCGAGCCACGGAGCACCGCTCAAAACAGAGGGTGGCTGCTGCGGGGGGAAAGGGGGGGGGGCGGAGAAAAAGTGGAAAAGAGAGGTAAGGGGGGTGGAATGGACAGGGTGAAGAGCACACGAGAGGGCGCTGGAGGGCGTCTCTCTGGAGCGCCTGCTGGAGTCCGAACATTCCAGGATTTATGAATGCCAAATCAGAGGCAATCGGATGGAGAGGGGGTTAACGGCCTCTGCCGTGGCGCGCAGCACCGCCAGCACCGCGCAGCACACCTCCACATGTGATGTCATATGGCGCTAGTTCTTGCGCCAGTCCGCCCTCAACCTTCTGCAGCCTCGCCCCGTTCAAAAGACCCGCCCCCCAGGAATTAGCCCCCACGTGGTAGGGGTGCAAAAAATATCGGCAGGGCCCGATGCCGCGCCGCAGACGCTGTATTTCGGCCGGCGGATCGGCTGCCTGGACTCCCTCTGTGGTCTTGTGTGTGTGTGTGCATGTGTGTGTGTGTGTGTGTGTGTGTGTGTGTGAGAGAGAGAGAGAGAGAGAGAGAGAGAGAGAGAGAGAGAGAGCGAGAGGGGGTCGAATGTGGGCCACTAGGTGTGGCAGGGGCGCCGATTGGTCAGAGAGGGTGTAGGGGTGCGTCGGGCGAGAGCTCGTATAATTGAAATATTGGTTACTGCCTCCCTCAGCGCCGCCGCGGCCGGGCATGGCAGGGCACGGCGGGGCACGGCTCCGTCCACACGAGTCCATTGCGCAAGCCAGCTGGTATCGCGGCGAAAGGCCACTCCAGCGAGCCCTCTGGGTGGGGCCCTCGGGGTGGGGCCCTCGGGATGGGGCCCTCTGGTGGGCCCGGTGGGTGGGCCCCGCTCCCCACCACGCTCGCCGATCCAAACTCACTTTGCGTGGCGCTGCGCGGAAGAGACGGGTTAATTTTGGGACCGCAGCCTGACACTGTCGAAGGGTCGCACTACAGCTGTGGGGCGCCCCCTGTTTCGCCCCCTGCGTCGCCCCTGCCGTGGCGGGATGGGCCCCCCGTGCTCGCCGCCCCCGCAGGCCCCCGCAGGGCCCCGCAGGCCCCCGCCCCACACGCTATGCGTTGCTCTCGATCCCCAACCCGACCTTCACCTTGGGGCTGGATCATTTGTAAAGCCACCCGGCTCCCCGCCAGGCACCTGGGCCAAGTTTCCATGCCAGGTCCGTCCTTGCATTCCGGGCTCATTTCAATGTCGTCCAGGCGGTCACTCCCTTTTTTTGCGACTCGCGAAGTACGAGGGCCGGGGAAAGTAAAATTCGGAAGTGTACTCCTGGACCCACGCCCACCACTCAAGTGGCGTCCTCTGAGAGGGCCGCGTGGCGTGGCGTGGCGACGGCCGCCCCTCGGCCGGGCTGACCCGGCGGCAGGCTGATGGGGTGGCGATGGCTCGGTCGGGAAGCCATAGACAGGAGCGCCGGGCACGAAGAGGGCGAGGGGCGACCCACAGGCCAGCTGGCTGGCAGGGTAGGCGGTACCGACCCGGTGGAAGCGAACCTGGCCTGGCGGGCGATACCCCACGCGCGGGTGCCGTTTTCTCCCCTTTTCCACTGGCCCGGGCGAGCGACTTGCACGGGGATCACCACCGGTACCTCGAGGCCGCCGCTGCACAGTGGGCCAGAAGACCGGTGGAAGCGGTCAAAACTCCAGGCGCGTTTTGAGCTCCAGAGTCGCTGAATGGGACTTAGACCGCCTCCACCGGTCTTCTGGCCCACTGTGCTGGAGGGTCGCAGCAGCCCCTTTGTCGCCAGGGGCTTCTTCGTGGGCTGCTGATAGGTTTTGAATTTGCCGTCCGCCCTGTCCTTCCCTCATTTCGGCCAACTTTTGTTCTTGATCGGGCCGGCCGGATTGGCGTCCACGGCGACCCCGGTGGCCCGGCCGGCGGTCCCGCATTTTTAATCAAAGTCGTCAGACTCGTAATTACAGCCATGAATGCCTCGGCCATAAAGGACACCACCTTTCTTCTGTCTCCCCCGGCCTTTTGTGCCCCGCCATGGCGGGCCAACACAAACACGATCCACTCCATTGGCGCCGTGCGGAGGTGGCGACCGTCTCTCTCGCTCTCACGGGCCGTCCCGCTCGGCGCGCAGGGGTGCGAGAGAGACAGCCTGCCTTTTGGTCCGCGAAGTTGCTGCAATAAGGGCGCACCACAAAAGCGAGGGTCATCATCGGCTTCTTGGAGGGGACAACAGGAGGCCAAAGAATTCATCCGCGCGCGTCACTGGCGGCGCACTGGCAGAGCACGCGTCCGCTTTTGTGAGAGTTTCCGGTGGCGCGACGCCGCTGCCTCCAGGAGGAGGGCCCTGGAACCTGGAACCCAGAAGCCTGGAACCCAGAAGCCTGGAACCCAGAAGCCTGAAACCCAGAAGCCTGGAACCCAGAAGCCTGGAACCCAGAAGCCTGGAACCCAGAAGCCTGGAACCCAGAAACCTGGAACCCAGAAGCAGGCTCGGACTGGCCAGGGCAGACAGGCAGAAAAATCTGCCGGGGCCTTTGGATTTGTGACCAGTAACGTCACGAAGTGATTGAATCTCCGAAACTAGCCGTTTTCGCTGAATTTGAGCGGCCACTGCTTCGATCTAGTTGCGGCCAACGGCCTCCCTCGACGTCCTAGTATTCTCAAGACCCTACTCTTTCATGCCCTGTATCGGGAAGACGTTGACCACAACGATTTTGCCTTTGACCGCAACGATTTTGGGACCAAAGTTGGTCAAAAAGTGGTCGAATCTCGGAAATTTGCTGATTTTGCTGACTTTGGGGGGCCACTGTGTCCAATCTAGTTGCCGTAAAAGGCCTCCCTCGACGTCCTAGTATTCACAAGACCCTACTCTTTCATGCCCTGTATCGGGAAGACATTGACCACAACGATTTTGCCTTTGACCGCAACGATTTTGGGACCAAAGTTGGTCAAAAAGTGGTCGAATCTCGGAAATTTGCTGATTTTGCTGACTTTGGGGGGCCACTGTGTCCAATCTAGTTGCCGTAAAAGGCCTCCCTCGACGTCCTAGTATTCACAAGACCCTACTCTTTCATGCCCTGTATCGGGAAGACGTTGACCACAACGATTTTGCCTTTGACCGCAACGATTTTGGGACCAAAGTTGATCAAAAAGTGGTCGAATCTCGGAAATTTGCTGATTTTGCTGACTTTGGGCGGCCACTGTGTCCAATCTAGTTGCCGTAAAAGGCCTCCCTCAACGTCCTAGTATTCTCAAGACCCTACTCTTTCATGTCCTGTATCGGGAAGACGTTGACCACAACGATTTTGCCTTTGACCGCAATGATTTTCCGACCAAGTTGGTCAAAAAGTAGTCGAATATCGGAAATTTGCTGATTTTGCTGACTTTGGGTGGCCACTGTGTCCAATCTAGTTGCATTAAAAGGCATTAAAAAAGTTGGTCATGAAGCGTAAAAACAATGATGATCGGGGGCCTTTTGCGGTCTTATCTGCCGGGGCCTTTTGGGGGCCAGTCCGAGCCTGCCCAGAAGCCTGGAACCCAGAAGCCTGGGACCCAGAAGCCTTGAACCCAGAAGCCTGAAACCCAGAAGCCTGGAACCCAGAAGCCTGGAACCCAGAAGCCTTGAACCCAGAAGCCTTGAACCCAGAAGCCTTGAACCCAGAAGCCTTGAACTCAGAAGCCTTGAACCCAAAAGCCTGAAACCCAGAGGCCTGGAACCCAGAAGCCTGGAACCTGGAGGTACCGAAGGGCCGCTGCTCCGGTTCCAGCGCTCTCGTCAGTCCAAGCACGGCTTGCTTCACTACGTCATGCGGGTCGCACGACCAGCCGACTGATTTGGCGCACCGCTGTCGTCATTCCGTCTCTCTCGCACCCGCGGGCCGCTCCGTCTCGGTGCGAGAGAGACAGCGTGCGTGGCATTGACGAGCAGCAGCGTTCAATAGATTAGGCGCTCCGGCGGGCGGACGGCCCGCGATTCAAACAAAATCGCCGCCCCGGGACAAAAGGTGGCCTCTCTTTGATTTCGCGTGCGTGTGTGTCGTCAGTGTGTGTTGTGTGTTGTTATCACAGCCCATTATTATTCATGCCAATTTGTGCGTACGTGATAAGCGGCGCCATTGGCCTTTGGCTTTGGGCGGCTAGCATTGGCTAGTGAGGCCTCGCCTGCTCGTTGCGGATCGCTGGCTGGCTGACTGACTGGCTGGCTGTCTGGCTGGCGGCAGCGGCTGCGGGATCATTTTGTAAAGCCCGCCCTAACAAGGGGCGAAGTTGGGATGGAACTGTCAACTTGGGCGACTGCTGGCCGAGGTTGTGTAGTGAGTGATACGGCACGCCGCGGCATGCAGAACAAGGGCGACAGTGTGGAGCAGCTCGTTGTTGTGCAGGCGCAATTTTCGGAAAAGGAATAACTATGACCCTTGTTGTTGTTTGAAGAAGTGACCTTTTGTTTGTTTGTTTGAACACGGAGAACTGATTGTTGTTGTTGTTTGTTGCAGCGCAATGCACCGCGGCCCTGGGCATGCAGTCGCGGGCCATCCCCGACCAGGACATCTCGGCCTCCTCGTCGTTCCACGTCGGCAACGTGGGGCCGCACCGCGCACGGTAAGCGCTTAAAAAATTAAAATTAAAAACAAGAACCGAAAACCTCCTCTAACATCAGTCTCTCTATCGCGGCATTAGAGTGTTTTTGGAACTTGATTGGGCGGTCGGCAAGTTCCGCGCCGCTTCGACTTTTAGTTTGCGCTCAAGTGGGGGATAATCCCCCCGGCAGCGGGGCGCGGGGCGCGGGTTCGAGTCGCGGCGGCGTCCGCTGCTTTTCGGGCGCGGATTTCATTCAGTGTTTGCCTCCTCAAAGACAATACCACTCCCTGCGAGCGAGCGAGATGGCTGGAGAGAGAGGAGCGGCAGCCGGGGCCGTTTGTCGACGCTGAAACAAATCCATTCCGCTAAATTGAATGTCTTCTTGGGCCTCGTGCAACTTACTACTCCGCGCGCCTTGGCACTTACTGACAAAGCAAACCCCGCTGCCGCCGGAGCGGCCGAGGCACAGCTTCACTCTGGTGATGAGGGAGGGGGAAGGGGGAGGGGGGAGTCACCCCTTGCCGCGCGACTTTTCAGTGTGGCGGTTGTTGTTCGCCGGATCGACACCGCCGCTCCGTGCGTTCCTCCCCGTGACGCCGCGAGGACGAGCAGGCCGTCAGATTGCGCGACGAATCGGCAAAGTTTGGGGCTCCGCGGGTCGCGCAGGTCGCTGTCGCGAATCTGCGTTTATTATTGTTGGTTCACGTGGCGCCGTGATGGATGGATCGGCTGCCGCGGCTCCGAGGACCCGGGAGTCGGGCGGGACTTGGAGCCACGCACGTCGCGAGGTCCATGGCTTGAAAGGGGCTCGAACCGAGCGTGTGACCCCACCAGTGGATTCCTCGTTCGGAGAGCAATCCATTGGTGGGGTCACACGTTCGGTTCGAGTCCTACTTCGCGACTCTGGAGCTCAAAACGCGTCGAGATTTTTGGGCGCGTCCACCGGTATTCTGGCTCACCGTGTGGCGGCCCCTACCACTACGTCGCCCCGCCCGCGCCGAAACGCCCCACTAATGGAAAGCTCGCCGATGGCGCGGCTCCGGCCTGCTTTTCCGTCCCACTGGTCCTGCTGATGGTACTTCCCACCTGCGCCGCGTACCGCGTGCCGCCGCGCTTCAAACTTGTTTCCCGTATTATGGGGGGCGAAGGGCGCGGCGAAAAACCGCGCGGTCCGAGGCGTGCCTGACGCATGGCGGAAGTTTCCCTCGTCGTCCCTCGTCGCGCCGCCAGAGATTACATTATTTTCGCTCTGGGGCGGGGCGGGGCGGGGCGGGGCGGGTGCTGGCGTTGGCGCCCGCGAGCCTTAAATTAGGGGGAAAGCGGGCGCGTGTGTAAGCCGCGGCGGACGGCGGCCGACGCGGACCCCCGGCCGCGCACACCATTTGCACCGTTCGGCCGCCCCGCCGCCCCCAAGACCGCCACCCCGCTGGCCGAGTTCTCTTCATTAAACATGAACGGAGTCATTTTTCCTGACCGTTTGTGGCAGGCTAGGCCGCGGCCTCGCTCGCGGCGGGCGGCCCGCAGCGCCAGCAGCGGAGCGGCCAAAATGAGAAGGGAAGGATCTTGTGAAAGGCGACGGCGACACTGTAGGGCGGGCGGGCAGCACGTCGCAGCGCCGCGGGCGCCTGCCGGCCGCGAGGGTAGACCGTCCCGTAAGACGCGGCTGCACCCGGGATGCCTACCCTCCAGGCGCTCTCCCCTCCACGGAGTGCAACATTCTGGCTGACCGCCGCCCCGCCGCGCCCCACCCCGCCGCGCGACCGCCGGGGCCGGGGCCGCCGGGACGCAGCGGACCGTAGTCAGGCCGCCCGGGCCGGGCCGAGAGTGTCGCGGGTGATTTGTTTGAAGGGCCCCTTAGGCGGCGGGCAACGCGCTGCTGCTGGCGCTGCAGGCTGCCCCCGAAAGCGTGTCGCTCCGTCTCTCTCCGACTCGTGGGCCGGGTGGCGGGCCGTAGGGAGACAGAGGGACGGCACACTGCGCGAAACCGCTCTGTCCGAATTTGCGCGCCGGTCGTTCCCCCGTTCGTATCGGGCCGCCGTTTCTTTCCCGTCCATTGGCGTCGCTCTGTCTCTCTCGCACGGCTGGGTCGGCGCGGCGGCCCGCGGGGGTGCGAGAGAGACGGAGCGGCCGGGGCCTTTGCCGGGCAAACAAGCCGAGACTGCGCTAAATTAGGGGCTGTTGAGGGCCTGGCCGTGGCACTGCTGAGGCTGGGCGGGGCGGGCAGGGCCGGTAGGGCGAGCAGAAAGGTACAAATAGAGGTGTTAGAAGGGCCGGCCGGCGTGCCGACGGCGAGGGGATCTAAGCCAGCCCTTCGCCCCGCCCTGTGCCCTGCCCTTCGCCCAGCCCGCCGGCGACCAGTGAGCGGCGGCGGCTGCTTTTCGGAAAAGCAAGTCCGAGGCAAAAAGGGACCGCCTGGTTTCCGCCAGTGTCGCCCTGTCTCTCTCGCGCCCCTATACGGAACGCCCCGTGAGTGCGAGAGGGACAGAGCGATGCCGCTGCACCCTTTGCCGCTAATCAGTCTCTATTAGGGCCGGCACACGGCAGTGCACGCCGGCCGGCCGAAGGGGTTGGGGCTGGGGATGGGGATCTGAAGCTGGTGGCGAAATTGGGTTCCTGCCGGCGTAGCGTCTGGACACGAGAGTGGAGGGGGCTGTGGCGGCAGCGCGTCGCCGGCCGGGCAGTACGTCGAGGCCCTCGTCGAGGCCGAGAGAGAGAGAGAGAGAGAGAGAGAGAGAGAGAGAGAGAGAGAGAGAGAGAGAGAGAGAGAGAGAGAGAGGCCAGCCTCGCCGCAAAGTCCTTTATCGACACATCAAGGCGGAGTGCGACCGCTCCCCCTCCGCCCTCCCCTCTCTCTCTTGCCCCTCTTCCTCTCCTCTGAACTAGGAAACGAAAATGGGGGGAAAATAAAGATTGCGAGTGCCCCGCTTACCTGGTACCAAAGTGGCCATCGGTCGACACTTAGACCCTTAGCCGCGTTGGCCGTGCCTTGGCCGCGATCGCCAACTAGAGTGTGGCGGTGCCGCCGCGCTGCCGCTTTGAAACGCCCCGCCGGCACTCTAAAGGTCCGGTTTGAATTATGAAATTACGCCGCGTGGCGTGCGGAGCGTGCAGAGCGAGGGGGCACAGCACTGCAATGAAATGTGTTTCGCGGCGGCCAAAGTGGCACGCGGCAACACGCCGCAGCACTGCAGGACGTGCATTTCGAAATTCGGACCGAGAGTCGGACGCCCCGCGCCACCCTCTCCAGAATCCCCCCAATTTGCTTTTGGCAGTGCACACGCGCGTGACCGCCACCGCACACGCCTTTACGGTCGTCATCCTCCAAACGCATTTATTGCCACGCTATTGATTTCCCGCGCTCTGACGGTGTAGGTGGCCTCGCCTGCCCGGCCGGCCCGGCCGACGTGGCCCAATGGACTCTCCATGGTGACAGTGTTGTGCTGTTTCGCCCGTAAATGCGCGCGTTATCCCCGTTATCGAAGTCGATGCTCCCGCCCCGCCGTCGCCGGCACCCATAAAAAAATGCCGCCAGCATTTTTTCACGGGAATGATTTTTATTTTCCGTTGTTGGGTTCTGGGGAATACATGGCAAAACGACCTAATGATGGTGATGATGATGGTGATGATGATGGTGATGATGATGGTGATGATAATGATGGTGATGATGATGATGGTGATGATGGTGGTGATGATGGTGATGATACTGACGTTGTTGTTGTTTTCGCAGCATCCGCACCGAGGGCCACGGCGGCGCGTGGTGCCCGCAGCAGCAGGCCACAGCTGACCCCAGCGAGTGGCTGCAGGTGGAGCTGCACTCGGTCCACGTCATCACGGCCGTGGAGACGCAGGGCCGCTTCGGCAACGGCCAGGGCCAGGAGTACGCCGAGGCCTTCATCCTGGAGTACTGGCGGCCCTCGCTGGACAAGTGGGTGCGCTACCGCGACCAGGAGGGTGAAGAGGTGAGTGGGCTTCGTTTTTGCTGCCGACAGGGAGGCTGCTGTCGTTTTCTTCTTTGATTCTCGCGCGACTCGGTGCGGTTTCCGGTTTGTTTTTATTTTCACTTCTCTCCGTTTCGGTGATCAATCACTGGTCGCCGAGTCGCGCTGCTCCGGGCTGCTCTGGGCCTCGCCCCCTGTGACGCCTTTGGCGGTGACGCGGTGGCGAGTTTGACGGCTGAATTTCCAGTGGCGGTGCGGGCTGTTTCGAACGGCCCGTTTGTCGGCGAGTAGCCCACCTGGCCGGCGAGCGGGCCGAGGACCCTCGGGGACTAGGGCGGGGTGGCCGGGCGCTGTGACAAGTGTTCCTTGTGACGCGAGCCCCTGGACGTCCTGGCCGTCATGGTCGTCCTGGACACAACGTGACGTCATCGCTCACACGTCGCGTGCGACCCACCCCGAGGCATTCCCGTTGCCGCAGGCCCGGTGCACAGTGGGCCAGAAGACAGGTGGGGGTGGTCGGAATCCCGGACGCGTTTTGAGCTCCAGAGTCGCTAAATAGGAGTGGAACCGAACGTGGGACCCCACCAACGGATTGCTCTTCGAACGAGGCATCCATTGGTGGGGTCACACGCTCGGTTCGAGTCCCATTTAGCGACTCTGCGTCGCTGGGCTGCAACTCGGTGTGTGTTTCCTCGGCACTGCCTCGTAAAGTTTTCCTCTTTGTGGTGGAAGGCTGAAAGGCGCGGGCGGGAAGACAAATTCCTCTCGGCGGGCCGCTCGGCCGTTCGGCGTATACAGTGCGGGGGGCGAGGCCGGCGAGGTGAGGGCGCTGTTTTTGAAAGCGCTCGATCTAGATTGTGGCTCGGCTGGGCTCGGCCGGGCTCGGCTGGCTGGCACGCCGGTGAGACGGTGTAGGTGCCACTTGGGGAACTCGACACCGAGTCCGGACTTGGGGCTCAATCACACCCGATGGATCTCTCTCTCTCTTTCTCGCTCCGTCTCTCCGTCTCTCTCTCTCTCTCTCTCTCTCTCTCTCTCTCTCTCTCTCTCTCTCTCTCTCTCTCTCTCTCGCTCCCACGCGCAAGCCTGAATCAATCACTCAGTCTCTCCTTTTCTCCTGGCGGGCCTGTCCCCGCTTCCCGCGGTTCGTCGTGTCAATATGAACGCGCGGCCGCCTGCTGGCTGGCAATATGGCTGTGGCGATTCTCGGAGCCCCCGCCGGGGCTCGAACCCGCGTCCCCGTCCGAGGCGGACGTTTTCCTCGTTACGCGGAAACGCGCGCGCAGAGCCCTTAGCTTTGCATTATTGACGCGCGCGTGGCGTGTGTGTGTGTGTGTGTGTGTGTGGGTGAGCCTCGACGGACACGACTGACAGGCGACAAAGCGTTACACCGCGGTGGACGCGTCTGCCGGTGTGGGCTTGATGATGGCCCCGCCGAAAACCGAACCGCTCCCCCTCCCCCCCCCCTCCCCTTCCCCCGGACGCGCGGAGGCGGCCGACGGCACCCCGCTTCCTTCCTCTCCGTCCGCGTGGCGTCCGGACGCGCGACGCGCCGCGACGCACTCGACGCACGCGACGTCCGCCGCGTTGTCGCCTCCGAGTTTTTAGTCGCGTGTAAAACACGCGGCGCGCTATCTGGATGGCCGAGGCTCCTGCGTGGCACAGTGGGCCAGAAGACCGGTGGAGGCGGCCGAAACTCTGGACGGGTTTTGAGCTCCAGAGTCGCTAAGCAGTACGCGAACCGAACGTGTGATCCCACCAATGGATTCCTCGTTCGGAGAGCAAGCCATTGGTGGGGTCACACGCTCGGTTCGAGTCCCATTTAGCGACTCTGGAGCTCAAAACGCGTCTAGAGTTTTGGCCGCCTCCACCGGTCTTCTGGCCCACTGTGCATCGCGGCCGTGCCGGATCCGAGAGCCGTTTCTGCCGCTCCGTCTCTCTCGCACCCAGACGGGACGCCCCGCGGGTGCGAGAGAGACAGAGCGTCGTCGGCCGAGGTTATTATTGCCGGTTCGCCTGCCACACTGAATAATAGAGCGAGCGGCGAGGCGAGGCAACCGAGTTTCCAGGAGTTGGAAGCCCGCGGTCCGCGTTTGCCGCTTTTCCGGGTTCGAATACCGGCTTTCGGGCTCGCTGTGAACACCGTCCACCATGTATTCTAGCCCTGTCAATGTAACTTCGTCCAGAGGGCTTAAAAAGGACGAGCGTGGGCATTAAAAAACTGAAAGTTGGTATGCGTGTGGGCTGATGATGCACTGTAGGGCGAGAGCGCTGAGGCTGTCCCCTTGCCCTTTTGTTTCCCCGCGACTCGGCGCGACTTTTTGCCGGATGCCCGCTGCGAGGTGAAGTTGGTCCGCGCGGCAACAGTTTGCCGCGAAACAGCTCATTTGGCCGCGTTAATCGCAGCAGGCGACCTGTTGAACGGACGAACGGACGGACGGACGGGCCCCGATGCGATTGGCATTCAGTTCCAAACTCGCTCTTCTTTCCCCCCTCTCTCTCTCTCACTCTTTTTGTGCGCTCGTCAGTTTGTTCGCTTTATGGTAGTTCCACGACGGTTCCAGTGACGGCGTGCTGCGCAGTGCGTGCTGCGCCGTGCGTGGTCTGGGCGCATAAAAACGCGGCGGAAACGACTCCCTGGGAGGGAAGGGAATGAGCCGGGCCGCTTGTAAACGGCCTCGAAAAGGATCGATCCCGGGCGACATATCGAAATGACAGCCGAACGCCGTATTTTGATTCGGGTCGCCGGGGAAGACGGCCGGGGGGCGGGGAGGGGGCGGGGGAAGTCCGGCCGGAGTTGATGGGCCTACGCACGGAAGTGGACAGGCAGTAAACAGGTGTAACAGATTATCTGATACGGTGGGGGGCCTTCTCCACCGTGACGATCGCCCAGGTCTCTGTCTGTCTGTCTGTCTGCCTGTCTGCCTGTCGGTCCGTCCGTCTGTCGCAAACTGTCCCTGCCGGTCCCGGCCAAGGAGCGGAAAGGGATACGCAGGCAGCTGTCAAACAAAGTGGATCATAAAGGCATACGGCAACATGTGCGCGCCGCGCGGCGCCGCGCCGCTGGAGAGGTCCTCCGGGGAGGAAGGAAGATAGGGGCGCCGTGTGTGTGTGTGTCTGTACGTGTGTGTTTTTGTCTGTGTCTGTGTGCGTGGGCGAATACGGCGTTTTGATTCATGGCGCTGTGTTGTGCAGGTGGCGGCCATTTGGTGGTGTGCTCCCTTTTTACGCGCGCCCCCTATCGCTCTCTCTCTCTCTCTCTCTCTCTCTCTCTCTCTCTCTCTCTCTCTCTCTCTCTCTCTCTCTCTCTCTCTCTCTCTCTCTCTCTCTCTCTCTCTCTCTCTCTCTCCCTCTCTCTCCCCCTCCCTCTCCCTCTCTCCCTAAAGCTCCCTCCGCCCCTGGCCGCTGATAGTACTACAGCAAGTGCGATGCTGCAACCGCCACCAAACACTGCGAGCCGCGCGACGACGTCTGCTTCAGAGAATCGTAGCGAAAATGACGTGGCCGAGCGCTGACTCTGTCCTGTCCGTCTGCCCGCAGGTGCTGAAGGGCAACCACAACCCCTACACGGAGGAGAAGCGCGTGCTGCTGCCTCCCATCTGGGCGTCGCGCCTCCGCTTCCTGCCCTACTCGTACCACCGGCGCACCGTGTGCATGCGCGTCGAGCTGTACGGGTGCCCGTGGCGCGGCGGCGTCGTGTCGTACGCCATGCCGCAGGGCGACAAGCGCGGCGCCAGCTGGGAGTTCTTCGACACGTCCTACGACGGGCCCTGGGACCCGCAGCCCCACAAGGGCCTGGGCCAGCTCACCGACACCATCTACGGCGACGACAACTTCAAGATGAGCTACTACGAGTCGGACAAGGGTGAGTTTTGAAAAAAGTTTGAGTGTATACGTTGGCGGACCTGGCTGTGATGGCCTCCCTCATCGTCGCGACCCTTTCCTCTCGTTTAGCGAGGAGAGAGGGAAGGCGACACCACGGTGGCCGTCTCTCTCTCTCGGTTTCTTTTCTTCCCCTTCCGTGACGTATCGCCCTGGGCCCGGCAGGTCGTCCGGTCCGTCTGTCTGTCTCTCTCGCACCCGCCCCGCGGCCCGGCCCACGAGTGCGACAGAGACGGAGCTCGGAATCGGTCTGCAGACGGAATGCCGCCGGTCGGGCGGCGTCGCCGCGTCGCCGCGTCGCCTAGGCAACCGGCAGGTTGGTACGGGCCGCGCTGCCGCACTGATAGCGCGGTTATGGCAGCACGAATGGCTTGGCCTGGCAGTGTGGCAGTGCCGCGGCCCGGCCGACATTGGAACGCGAAGCCGCGAAGCGTGGAACTCATGCCGCCGAGCGTGAGGCGGTGCAGGCAGTGCAGGCAACCGATGCAAGCCAATGCAGCGACCCACTTCGCCGCCATTCAAACGGGAGCACTGCTCCAATGTTCCATTTTCAACTCGTCGTCACGCGTATCTAACGACCGTGGCGCGGCTCTGTGTGCACGCGCGTGCGCGTGTGTATGCAGAGCGCGCCGGAGCTCGCTCGCGCTGCGGATAGCAGACGAGTAGTTATTGACACTTTTAGTGGTTTTTGTCGCGCGTTATACCGATATCGCGCGCACGCGGTGTACGTCACACGTGCACTCTCACACTCGAGTGCGCGCAAGCCTCGGCGAGCAGACGCGACCCAGAGCGCCACAGTGGGCCAGAAGACCGGTGGGGGCGGACAAAACTCAACGCGATTTGAGCTCCAGAGTCGCTAAATGGGACTCGAACCGAACGTGTGACCCCACCAATGGACTGCTCTCCGAACGAGGAATCCATTGGTGGGGTCACACGATCGCTTCGAGCCCTGCTTAGCGACTCTGCAGCTCAAAACGCGTCTAGAGTTTTGGCCGCGCCTCCACCGGTCTTCTGGCCCACTGTGCCACGTGCCCCCTTCCCGTGAAAGTGTAGGTGCCCCCTTCCCCCCGAACACCTTTCCGGCCCGCGAGCTCATTTTGGCAAGCGATGGCGGCTCCGGTCTGCTCTGCCGTGAACCGCTGGGCCGTCGCGTCGCGTCTCGTCGCTCTGCCCCCGTCGTGCTCGGCGGCCCCCGCGGCCCCCGCGGCCCCCCCGGCCGACTCGACTCAAACTTGGAGCCATTATGCGATTATGGTGCGCTGTTACAGGGGCGCGCGTCAAGGGCGTAACGCGAATTTATAGCGGGCTTCTTGTTTTTGTCGGTAAATAACGGCAACAACGAGGACGAGAACAAGGCCGTGACTGTGTTGGTTTGCTTGTTGCAGGCGGCCAGGGCTGGGTGGGCTGGCGCAACGACTCGCGCGCCGGCCAGCCCGTCGAGATCGTCTTCGAGTTCGACACGGTGCGCGAGTTCCGCTCCATGGACATCTTCTGCAACAACCAGTTCACCAAGGAGGTGCAGGTGAGTGTTGCTGTTTTCCGCCTTTGCTTTGTCGGTGTGTGTGTGTGTGTGTGTGTAAAGGGGGGGGGGGCAGCCCACTGCTAGAGCGCGGCGTGGGCAGGGGTTCCAGGGGACGGAACAAAAGTGTGCCGTCAGCTGGAGTCCTCCTGGAGTCCCGGGCTGCGGGTTTCGGTATAGACATCCAAACTGCCCCGGGGGTGGGGGTGCGCGGGGCGCGCCGCCGTGGGACCTAATGGCGTGGTCCTGGAACTGCCGCGTTGGAGGCGAACACCGGGACCCTGGAGCAGGGTCGACGCCATCGACGTCCTCCGCGTTGTAACCCGCGGACCCGGTCATACCCACCAGGAAGGGGTTGTCAGACACTTCCCATGGATCCTGTGGAGGTTGTGGGGAGTTCCAGGAGGGACGCTGCAGCCCGGATTCCTGCTGAGCGGGCTGGCCGTGCCGGACCGCCTCCCGGCCGACACAGCCCGCCTTTGGCGCGCGGCGTGCGCTGCCAACAACTTTTCCAGTAATTGCAAAGCTGCCAAACTAAAACGATCTCCATCATTAGTTTGCGGTCCCCGTAGTTTATGAGCGTTCGGCCGGCCGTCCGACCGGCAGGTAGGGCCTAGCTAGGGCCGCTGGGCTGTTACACCGGGCCCACAATAAAAAGCGTTTCCCAGCCCTGAGTTCGTTGGTTCGTTCCTGGAGACGTTTTGGGAGTGGAGGGGAGGGGGAGGGGGTGCCTCAGTCGCCAACTGCGCCAGCGCCGCCGCTGGAGTCGGCCATGCGTCGCGGGTTTGATGGATGCGTTTGGCGCCAAGGTGTGTGTGAGTGTGCTCTCAGCACGCGCCACCGCGCCGCCGTGCGTGCTGCTGGAGGTGGTGACGGTGGTGGCGGCGGTGGCGGTCGCCCCGCCGCGCACCAGGTGCCCGCCCCGGCCGCCTCGGCACTGCTGCGCCCTCCAGAATCAGCCCGCGGTGCTTCCAGTGCAGTCTGCGGCGGGCCTCGTTCTCCTTCTAGTTACGGTCGAAGCCCCCGACCGTTTGAGGGAATCGTTTCGGTGGCGGTGCCCGCGGTGCCCGCCGTGCCCGCCGAGCCCGCACACCAGGCTGATTCCCTTCTGCGCGGCTTTCATCGCTCCGTCTCTCTCGCACTCGTGGGGCGTTCCGTGGGGGTGCGAGAGAGACAGCTTTGCGTCCTGACGGCTTGCATCATGTCGATATAGCTCGCCTGTCCCCGTCAAGCATCGCTGCCTCTCTCGCACCCCAGTGGGACACGACCTACGAGTGCGAGAGAGACAGCGATGTAAGTACTGTCCGGAATCGGCCCGCTTTTGGTTGGTCCACGGTTGGCGTCGGGACCAAACCAGCCTGGCCATTCTCTGGGAGTTATTTTGGCCCCTCGCCGAGGGAGAAGAGAGAGTGAGAGGGCAGAGATGCGCACCGGGCGGAGTGGGAGAGCGAGCGGGAGACGTATATAACTGTGATGAAGATGATGGCTGTCGCAGATTGGATTGTCGGGACCAGGCCACGAGGGAGCCCAGCCAGCACAGCCCAGCCTGGCTGGGAGTGCAGCCGGGAATGACCCCGGTCAACCTCTGCAGCTGATCTGGGGCGGGGCGGGGCGGGGCGGGGCGGGGCGTACTCGGCGGCGCACGTCTCTCCCAGCACCCCGAGGCACAACTCTATACACTTGTTGCTGGCCGGCAGCGCGGCGAGGCGGTTTCGCGTTCAGCAGGCCCTTTGCTGGTAATAGCGCGCCTCGACGCGACTACGCACAAGTGCAAATAGCTTGGACGGGAACGGGAACGCTCTCGACGTCGTCGAGGGACGCGCGCTGGCGGCAGGCAGTTTCGCGCGCGGCAAGTTCTCCGGCAAGCGCCCGACGGGTAGGCAACCGGTGTCGTAGTGCGCTCCGGACCACGGCGGGTTGCCGACCCGTCGGGCGTCTCGGACGGCCCCGTGGCTCGCCGTGGTGGCACGGGGAGTCGCCGACATGGCCTCCTTCCCCCACCGCGAACCCCCTCTGGACCCGGTCGGAGAGGGCACGCGTAAATGAGTGGGTGCAGGAGAGAGTGAAAGAGGAAGAGAGAGAAGAAGCAGGGGGTGCATAAAATTGAGACCCCTCGCTTGGCCCCCTCCCCACGCACTTTTGCCGGCCCGTGTAGTGCGGGGTAACGTTCCGAGCTCTCGGCCGGAGGGTGGACGCCCCGCCACGCGCCACGCCACGCAGGCCCCGCCCCGCCCCGCCACGCCCCGCCACGCCCCGCACGCCCCGCCCGCCCCGCCACGCCCCGCCACACCCGCACGCCCCGCCACGCCCCGCCACGCCCCACGCCCCGCCACGCCTCGGCCGTGCGGAGGGACGGTATCAAGGCGTCCGTCTGTCTGTTTGGCTGACAGCTGACAGCCAGCGCAAGGACGGAGGGGGCTGCGATCACTATACTCTGTGCGAGAGTGAACGCTCACTCTGTGTGTGTGTGTGTGTGTGTGTGTGTGTGTGTGTGTGTGTGTGTGTGTGTGTGTGCGATTGTGATAGGGAGCGCTCTTCCCTGGATAAAATGAAAACCCCGGCGCGCAGGAACACCCTACAAAGCGGGGGACTTTTTACTTTGTTTTTAGAGGGCGATTCAACAGTGTCTATGCTACGTGGCGCCGGCACCAGAGCACAGTGCTCTGTCGTTGTTGGCGGGGGACTAGAACCCCAGCAGCTGTTGTCTGATTCCGTACAGTGCGTCTCTCTCTTTCTCTCACTCGAACGCCTACGGGGTGCCCCGTGAGTGCGAGAGAGAAAGATGGTGAATCAGAGCACCGGGACGCCCTGCTTGACGTCCGCGGCCCCCTCGGCGGCCAGCCGTTTGTAACTATTATTCAGTTGGCCGAGGCGGCGCGGTGGCGGCGCGGTGGAATGACCCGATTGTGTCATTTAGCCGCCTGGGCTGTTGTTGTGCCGATTATGATTGTGCAGCCGTCATAATGACCGCGGCACGGCGCGGCCAGGGCGCGGCGACCTGTTGGACGCGGCCTCTTTCTCGGCCTCCACGGCCTTCCGTGCGTCGGCCCGCCTCCCTTTCCTGGCGACTAAACTCGGCCCTTCCTTCCCGCTGCGCAGGTGTTCTCCGAGGCGCAGGTGATGTTCAGCGTGAGCGGCCACAACTTCCCCGGGCAGCCCATCACGTACACGTACCGCGAGGACCGCATCTTCGAGAGCTCGCGCAACGTGTCCATCAAGCTGCACCACCGCGTGGGCCGCTTCGTCAAGCTGCGCCTGCACTTCGCCAACAAGTGGATGCTCATCTCGGAGATCTCGTTCGACTCGGGTACGTGCTCGGGGAGGGAGTTGGCGAGTTTTTAAAGTGAATTTGTTTCCCGCTCGTTGCGGAGTTGGGAGTGTAAAAATTGTTTTATTTTCTTCTTCCAGTGGTGGCGCACGGTAACTTCAGCGACGAGAACCACATCCTGCTGCCCGACGTGGAGCCGCCGTCCGACCGCGTGCAGGACGACGTGTTCGTCGAGAAGGTGCTCAACAAGGCCTCGCCGTCGCCGACCCTGCACGCTGGCGGCTCCCCCACGCGCTCGTCCTCCGACCAGGGCGCCGAGTCGCCTGCCGCGCAGCCGCCGCAGCAGCCCGAGACGCCCATCTCGGCCGTGGAGAAGGAGGACACGACGTACGTGGCGGTCATCATCGGCATCCTCATGGCGGTCGTCATCATCCTGCTGGTGGCCGTGTTCCTGGTGTACACGCGCAGCCGCCACCGCAAGGGCTTCCTGGGTGCGCTCATCTCCAAGACGTCGTCCTCGGCGCACCACCACCAGGGCCACCACCTGAGCAGCCTCAAGAAGGCCCCCAGCTTCGCCGGCTCCTACGGCGTCGTCAAGGACTTCGAGCACAAGAGCTACCTGGTGGCGACGGCCGGCGCCGGCGGCCAGAAGTCGACCCTGCTCACGAACGGCGGCACCCTGGGCGGCAGCGGCGTGTCCCTGCCGCAGTCGGGCGCCAACGGCGACATGACGCACCTCCTGGACTCCAAGTGCAACTACTACCACGAGCCCTTCCCCTTCTACAGCTACAGCACCGTGGTCAGCGAGCTACGCAAGAACGGCGCGCCCGTGCTCAACGGTGAGTGGACCTCCGCATTTTCATTTCCCCCATTTTCGACTGTCGCTCTCGCGCGGAGTGACGGCGCCCTCCACTAATCTGGCCCATCTCCACATACATATTCACCTGGGATCCCCTCTGACAACTCGCTGGCTCTCTGACAACTGGCTCTCTGACGTTTCGAAGTACGCAGTGCGCGGTGCGCGAAGCGGCGCGTGAAGCGCTCGCGACCCCTCGCGACAAATCCCCCCGCCCCTTCCACGCCGTCGACGCCGTGCTGCGTTTGCCTCGGCAGTACGGAGAGGGGCCGCGACGTCGTCGGCGGGGGCGTTATCGCCGCCGCTGCACCGGCGGCAGCGACCCGCGGAAATAGAGCGTAAAGTCAACGCGGAAGAGTACGTCTGTCAGCACGATAGCACACCACTGCGCGCGCGCCGCTCCCCCGCAGCCGTTGCCGCCACCCCGCGAGGCCGCCGTCGTCCCCGACGTCGTGCTGCGGTGGCGCGGATAGCACGCACGCCGTCAGGCGCCGTCTACCTGTCGCAGTTTGTACGCACGTTAATACCATTACACGCTCCGCGGGAGGGAGAGAGAGGGGGAGGCACGGCGACGACGCGCACCCCAGCCGCCTGGGTCCTGGAGATATCCGCGGTCCCGCGGGTTGGCCTGCTCTGTGTTATTTCGCCGGGCCTGTCCTGTGTCCACCAGTCTGCCCCCGCCCCCGCGCGCCCGGCTGTTGGATATGACGGGGACGGCGTCGACGTCCGGGCCGAGAACCTCTCTCCGTCTCGCTGCTCCGCGGCAGGCTGTACGACCCCCCCCCCCCTCGCTTGCTCCCTGTATTAACGCCCTGCCCGTCTGTAAAAGAGTGCTGCATCTGCTGCCGCCGCCTCTGGCGTGCCTTTTGGCGTGTGTGGGCGTGGCTTCCGCACTGTTCCACCCCATCAGCGCGATCGCACCCTCCGCGGCGACGCAGGTCCCGGGTTCGAATCCCAGCCGGGCGTTCCGGATAATTATTTTTATTTCCCTCTCTCACCGACCCCGCCGCGCGGTTGGCGACCCTTATTTCATTATTGCGAAAGCTGCTTTTATGCGGCGTGTTTGGACGAGGGCCGCTCCCATTGGCTGCCTTGGTTGCCTTGGCCGGCCTCCAAGCGCCAAGCAATGGACCTTCTTCGCGCCGCCGCCCCGCCGCCACCGGCAAATTATCCCCTTCCTCTGTCCCTCTCGCACTCGCGGGGCGCCCCGCAGGCCGCAGGGGGTGCGAGAGAGACGGCGTCGCCGCGGCGAGGCTGGCGAGGCTCTGTGCGTGGACAGATTGCGTAACGATCCCCTTCCTGGCGGCCTGGCGTGTTATTCGTTTCGCCTTCCCTTCTCGCTTCCCGCTTCTCCCGCCAAAACGCGTATAAATCTTGCGAATGCCCGAATGCCCGCTCGGCCGGGCGCTGCGCGGCGCTGCGGCGCTGGCGGCGGTTCGCCTGGCGGCCTGGCGTTCGCGTTGGCCGCGTTGGCCGCGTTCGCCCCCCGGCCGTCAACTCTCTTGCCGAAATAAGTGGTGGAAGTGCGGGCCGCGGCGGCACGGCCAGACCAGACCCCCAGCGGCTAGCGCCCACTCCCTCGCCCCGTCTCTCTCGCCGCGACTCTTCCCCTCTCTTCCTTTTCTGTCCCCCCACGGCTTTTCCTTTTTCTCCTTTCCCCGCCGCGTGCGGTGGCCCTGAGTAGCCGAGCCCCCACACCGCCTCGCCGCCAGGGCGCGCCACCAATTTATTGGCTGACAGCACTGTTTATCAGATTAGCTGTAATTTATAAGGCCGCTGGATGGGGCGGAGGCCTTGGCGCCCCCCCCCCCCCTCTCCCCCTGTCGCACCTCTCCAGTCACACTCGGCCGTCGCGCTAAGTGCTGCCGTAAGCGTGTGTCGCGGCGCGGCGGCGCGGCCGAGCTGCCAGGGGCGGGGCGGGGGTGGGTTCAGCCCTTTCGGTGACAGTGCGTGGACACGCCGCGTCGCTCCGTCGTTTCAGGGCGACGGCCCTGCTTGAGTGACAAGGTAATAATGCCCCAGACGCCCTCCCCCCCCCCTCCCCCCACACACACGCCCCAACCCCCACGCCGGACCGCCCTACCCCTTTGTCATGCGAGCCCCTCCACCTGCGTTTGTGCTCTCGCATGTGTGTGTGTGTGTGTGTGAGTGACTCTGTGTGTTTGTGTCAGTCAGGGGTATCGGGCTGGAAAAAATGGCGCACTAACGTGTGTGTGCCGCCGTCCCCGCCGGGCCCGGCCGGCCCCCGCCCCCGCTGTCCGTTGACCGGTCGGCCGGTCGGTGAAAGGGAGAAATTAAGTTGTGTGTCATGGGGCGCGATGGCGCTGTGGCGGTGGCCACGCACGCCTATGATTGTTCCATTACTGGGGCTCGGCCCCGCCGGCCCCGCCGCCCCGTGCGCTGACGTGCGTGCGGAAGGCCTCCGGTTCGCCTCCGGTCCGCCTCCGGAATTTTGGCCGTGGACAAACACTGAAACAATCGAATTACGCGCATCGTTAGCCGCGCCGCGCTCTATCTAGCATGGCATTGGCTCATCCCCGAGGGCCGCGCTCTCTCCCTCTCACATACGCACTCTCTCTCCGTCTCTCTCTCTCTCTCTCTCTCTCTCTCTCTCCCTCGGCCCGCTCTCTCTCCTCTCTCATCTACTCACTCTCTCTCTCTCTCCTCTCTCTCTCTCTCACTCTCCTGTGCTCTCTCCCTCTCTCGCTCGCTCCCGGCCCCGTGTTAATTAGGTGACTGGTGAGGCCGGTGTGCTTGTTAATAACGATCACTCCGGGCCACACGGCCCACGGCCCAGGTGTGTGTGCGAGAGAGACAGAGGCCGGCCCCCAGCTGTGCGTGCGAGAGAGACAGACGGACCCACCTCCTCGGCCGCCCACATCGAGTCGATTGATTGGCTCGATATTAGTATACAAGTCGGAGTGCCCGGCGTCGCCGCGGCGCTGCTGCAGTGCGCGGCGGTGCGGAGGACTGCCATTGTCTCACTGTGCAGCACCGCGCAGCCGTCGGCGTGCACTCAGCCCCGCCCCGCCACGCCCTTTTCATCAGCACTCGGCCTGAAGGACGAAAAGAAAAAGCTTCGAGTCGGTGTTTGAACTCGTGCCTCTCCGTTTGTTGCAGAGACGCAGTACGCCGTGCCGGAGACAACGCCCTCGAACAGCACTCCGCTGCTCGCCCCGGAGGACACGCTGCCCGGGCTGCCACCCTTCCCCGGCCCCGCTCCCTCGCCGTCCGGCCCGCCCTCCGACGCCATGAGCCCCATGACGGCCACCGGCATGGGCGGCATCGGGTCGTCGGCCACCCTGGGCGGCGCGCTCGGCGGCACCCTGGGCGCCGGGGGGTTCGCCTTCGCCAGCTCGGCCAGCGACAAGGGCAGCAGCCTGCACTCCAGGAAGGGCAGCCTCTCCGACGACGGCCTCAAGACCAAGAGGGTGAGTGTCTGTCGAACTAGGCACGCTCCAGGACCATGCGGCACGGTCTGACTGTTGTTGTTGTTCTGCAGGAGGTGATGCGGTCCCTGAAGAAGCGCCTGCAGTCCGTGACAGTGCCCGAGTTCGCGCGCCACCGCCTGCGGATGCTGGCCCGGCTCGGGGAGGGCGCCTTCGGCACGGTAGGTGTCTAGGTCGCTGCCTATCGGCCTTCGATTGGTCCGCTTTCCAACCGTCCTCATGGCCGTCTTTGTCCCGCAGCTGTACGTGGCCGAGGCCGAGGGCATCGCGGACTACGGCGGCGGCGGCTCCACCGGGGCGCGCCTGGTGGCCGTCAAGTTCCTCAACCAGGGCGCCAGCGAGAAGGAAAAGTGAGTACGCAGTCGGGACGCGAACCGCGGACCTTGGTCTTCGAAAACCGCGCCGCAGTGCGCACGGCCAGCGAGACGCTAACCCGCCCCGCTCCCTGTTGCAGGCTGGACTTCCAGCGCGACGTGCGGCTGCTGTCCGCCCTCGAGGACCCCAACCTGGCGCGCGTGCTGGGGCTGTGCACGCGCGGCGAGCCGCTGTGCGTGGCCCTGGAGTACCTGCCGCACGGGGACCTGCACCGCTACCTCAGCTCGCGGTCGCCCGACATGTACGCGGACCCGCGCAGCCTCAAGGCGGACCCGCCCACCACGCTGGGCTTCGGCACGCTGCTCTACATGGCCACGCAGGTGGCCTCCGGCATGAAGTACCTCGAGTCGCTCAACTTCGTGCACCGGGACCTGGCGGCGCGCAACTGCCTGGTCGGCGACGACTACCTCGTCAAGATCTCCGACTTCGGCACCGACAACGAGGTGTTCGCCGCCGACTACTACCGGCCCGAGGGCAACCTGGCGCTGCCGGTGCGGTGGATGGCGGCCGAGTCGCTCTTCATGGGCAAGTACTCCACCAAGAGCGACGTGTGGGCCTTCGCCGTCACGCTGTGGGAGATGCTGCACTACTGCCGCGTGGCGCCCTACCCCGAGCTCAGCAGCCCGCAGGTGGTGGCCAACCTGGCGCACCTGCACCAGGGCGACGAGCGCCTGTTCAACCCGCTGCCGCTGCCGCCGCTGCCCCCCGCGGCGCGGGACGTGTACAGCCTCATGTGCGAGTGCTGGCGGCCTCAGGAGTCGGAGCGGCCTTCGTTCCGGGAGATCCACTTGTTCCTGCAGCGGAAGAACCTCGGCTACAGCCCCACCGGCATGGGCTCCATGGCCATGGGCTCCATGGCGTCCGCCGCCGCCGCCGCGCTGTCCTGACAGTCGGACATCCGCTTCCTCTGAGGGGCGGCGCACGGGGCGGCGCACGGGGCGGCCCACGGGGCGGCGGGCCCGCCCAGTCCGGCCCTGGACCTGATGCCGCTCCTGGAGTGGAACGGCGCCGGCTTCGGGGACCACAGCGACGACGACGAGCAGTGTTGAGGGTTCGAACCCCGTCGGCGCCAGATGACTCTTTTTGTGCTTAGCTCTGGCGCCGACCTGGCCGCGGAAGTGGCCCGCAGTGATAGTGACGCCATTTGTTCGGCGCCTCGACGCGCCCCGAGGACTTTGGAAGCGTCTGCGATGCTGGAGTGGCGCAGTGACTCACCATGGCAATAAGTAAATTTTGATAACAAAGTGTAACGGACAAATTTTATTTTGCGAGCTGTGTTGTCATAGGTCTATTTTTACGTTGGTGGTGTATTGTTAATCAGTGGTTAATAGCCTCAAGTGAACCGTGTCAAGACGGCATCTCCCCTTCAAGAAAAGTCATATCGTCTTTACGAGAAGTTGTAAATTTTTTTAAAGAATATTTATGGCAGTGTACAGTGTAGATGAAAGTTTTATTACGACCCATTGCTTGCAAAATTTCTAGGTAGGCTTCTGTAAATAAAAGTATTCATGTAAATTCAAGGTTCTCGTTCTCTACGCACGAGCCCGTTACCACACCTGTAGTTCCTTTGGTTAATCTGATTGTGATACTGGAAGAATAGTTAACTATTATTTTTGCTCCACCGCTTAAGTCGTGCACAACAAATTTGTTTCTCGTATTTCTCGTTATGGTTGTTGACAATTGACTCTAGTGGTACACCGTGTACATTGTGTAAAAATCCGCGTAGTTTTGTAGCCGCCACCTAATTTTTAACGAGCGTTCAGTGACTTTTTCCTCGTACAAGCTTTTGTGTATATTGGTCACGCACACTACACTGTCTTGCTGGTTGGTGCTGCTGTTCCGGGCGTAGCGCCGACCCTTTCGAGACAGTAACAATCCTGGCGCGCCTTGAAAATTATTCTTTTTTTTTTCTTCATTTTTTCCCCCTTTTTGGCGGCCCTTGAAAGTGTGCTCGAAATGCTGTGCGCTGCGCTGTCGCTGTTATATCTTTTACAAGTCACATCAAAAGGGACGCTTTGTCTTTGCCGGCACAAAGGGCGGTGCTCCTTGTCCGAGGCCCGAAGGACTCCGACGAAGGGCCTTTCGGAAGACGGCTAATGATGTGTGCAATATATCGCGCCTTGCTTTTCACAAGAAGCTGGCATTTCTTTTGTCTTTACGTTGTTCCGGGCGGCACATACACCGCCAAAAAAAGCATCGCCAACTAGCGAAACTGCATATCACGAAAGTATATGTGTCACTTTTTTCGAGACAATAAATAAGTAGCATGAGAAATTCTGTTTTCGGGTTTTGCTGTTCTCAGCAGTAGTGTAGAGTTATCATTTTGGAGTGTGTCTTGTTATTACTGAAGCAGCACTTAAGTGAAAATTAATCCTAGAATGCCAAAAGACCAATTCTGGTAAACTGTCTGAATTTGTAGACGTTTATTTCGTTTCGAAAGCGATGGGAACAATACTGTAGAACAAATGAGTCATATCTCACACTTGTAACTAGTTCAACTCTGTACATAAATTCGGAATTCCATGTTTTCTACGTATTTACTAAGTCGGCAAATTTTGTACCATCCTATACGATCGTATAAGACACAACGCTACTTGTGTCAACAAAAGATATAATATACCTATTTACATTTCTAAATTGCTTTGTTTTGCTAGTAGACAAACCTCACGTGTAGAACATAATAAAGGCGGAGTGCAGTCAAGTACAAATGGGATTGTTGACTATTTTAACTGTAAATGTAATATTTTTACACTGTAGGCAGAACATTCAGCACAAATACATTGTGATGCTGGACGCCAATTTGTACAACACCAGTATTGTAAGTTCACAAAATTAGTAGCCCGCAGCTACTTCCACGGAGTAGAGTTTTTGTTAGAGTTTAAGCATGTTTTTGTTGTGAAATATTGTTTAAGTTTAAGTAGAATACGCATTTGCTGTATCTACTTTCCGCCAAGACTGATACAATCAATACGAATGTGAGGCATGCTGGCCAATTTCAATCTACTGGTGCAACATATCACATACTTTAAGTTATTTCCTAAATGTTCTTCACTTACTTGGGAGAATTCTGTTTTTTTTATTGGCAGTACGGCTGCAAGACTTTCTGGCTCTGCGAGCCAATAGGGCGAACTACATTTTCTTTTCCTCCTGTAAATCTGTTGTAAATTTTAACTGACTATAGTCGCTGACACTAGCTGTGAATATATACCTAGACCTCTTAATTTTACCTCCTCCTTTCCACCCTGCTAGGTGTGTGAAATTGGTTCTAAATAAAGAAAATGATCGCAGAAAACCACAGTCTCTTCATTCTCCTCGTCCTCGCGAGCTCGACATCGAATCCAGGACACGCTCCTGTTGTGACATGGCAGACAAGAAGTGGCCAGAGGCCCCGTAGCGAGCAGCGCGCAGGGTACACAGCACACAGCACACAATCTCCATTTCGGCCAGTCATGGCCAGCCCCGCTAAGTCTGCCGTTTTACCGTTTTTCGCGCGTGCGTGCCGCGATGCGCGCGATACGCCACGACGCGACGTACTTTGTGGTGGGGACCAACGGGGACCGCAGAGTAAATTTGCCTTGCCTTCCCAGACGCGTGCCGTCTCGGCGCGCTATTAGCAACGGCTCTCGTTTTAAACAGCCGGGCTCAAATGAAAGCAATTGCAGACAGACTGAAAAGGTCGATGGATTTTGGAAAATTGGAGCGCGAACAGAGTTTCAGAGGCACAGTTTGGTGTCGCGAGGCGGGCGGGCCAGCGGGTTGCCTACGCTCGACTCTGTGGGCGCACAGGAACTGGGACCAGAGTAAAGGGAACCAAGGCGGGATTTAAAAATCAAAATTGACAAACGGATACGGGTCTTTTGAAAAATGTAATAGAACCCAGGGGGATTCGAACGCTGGACCTTCAGGACGGCAGCCGGCGCCTCTACCCACTCGGCCACAGAACCACCGTGGCGGAGGCTATACCGGCCGCTTCGACCCGCTCCACTCCGGACTCTCTTGTCTTATTGGGGTGCCCCAGAGTGCCCCGGGCCGCGGCGGCATCCCCTCCCAGCATGTATGTACGTTTGTATCGGCCCTTGAATGTAGGCTGTGTGCATCATGTCTGCAGACTCCCGTGTTTAATCGTCGAAACGTCAATAGCAGACTGTGTGTGTGTGTGTGTGTGTGTGTGTGTGTGTGTGTGAGTGTGAGTGTGTGTTTGCGAATCCGTCTTGTCTTGGTCGAACGTGCGCCCCTCTTGCCTCCGGAGCTCGCTCCGAGTGACCCAGACGCGGGTAGAGGGGGAGGAGGGGGGGGGGGGGGGGGCACGACCGGGGTCGGGCCGATGGGGACGATGGGGCCATGGCAGACGCGGCGGCGATGCACCACCACCACCACCACCAGGACCACCACCACCGGATCGCCGAGGCCCGGGGAGTCGACAACCGCCCCGAGTCTTGACTCGGCGCGTCTAAACGCATTTCCATAATGTAATGAAGAAAGACCAGAGCCAGCGCACGACGCCTGGACAAAAAGGACCTGGCTGCAGCGGTCTGCGCTATGCTCCGCTAGGCCCAGCCAGTGGACTGATTCCGAAGGTCGTCGCTCTGTCTCTCTCGCACTCACGGGGCGTCCCCTATAGGTGCGAGAGAGACAGAGCGACGACTCTCGGTCCGCAGCGAGAGCGCATGTCACGCCGCCACTCGGCACGTCCAGCCGCGCAGATGGCGCCACCGGAGGGGCCCGAAGGGACCACTGCACTGGCAAATAAAAGTGGAATATACAAGACAAACGTTTTAATTTCACTCAGCGGGGAAAAAATTTAAAATAATTAAGGAGGTGTTAGTGCACCGAAGGGGGAAGGGGAGCGCGGGTGGAGCGTAGCGCGGACTCGAAGACGGACTGGCAGAAGAGTTATTTCACAATGCGTCTAGTGGTGCAGGCACGGCAGGCACGGCGGGCACGGCCCCGGAGAGCATTTTGCAAACAAGCAATTAGGAAGGGATGCCGACTCAAATTGGCCGTGCCGAGCAGAGCCAAGCAGAGGGCGAGTGACGATGCGATACAGCCAGCCTCAAAATGAATAAGCTCCTGTCTGCTTGCATTTCCTTTCCCCTTGTCTGATGTGTATTACGGCGACGAATTTTGAAAGGGCGATTTACTCCCCCTTCCCCTATTTGAGTGTCTGTCTGTCTGTCTGTCTGTCTGTCAGTCTGTCAGTCTGTCTGTCTGTCTGTCTGTCTGTCTGTCTGTCTGTCTGTCTGTCTGTCTGTCTGTCTGTCTGTCTGTCTGTCTGTCTGTCTGTCTGTCTGTCTGTGTGCACGTAAGTGGGATCTGAGAAGGGAATCTCTTGGCAGGGCTCCCCTCTGGACAGTGCAGGCACCGCGGGACGAGCGATGACAACCGCCATGCAAAGCCTATGAGTTATAAGTCCCGAGCGCAGCGCAGCGTCAGGGTAAGGGGTGCATTGGCGTTCCCCAGCACACACGCACACAGACGCACACACACACACAGACGCAAACCAGCGTGCAGTTGTGCGACGATCCTTATTCCCTTTCGCATTATTCCCCGTCGCATGCGCCCCGTTTTATTATTTTCATATTGACTGTTTCCTCTTGTCTGCACATCCCCGCACACACACACACACACACACACACACACACACACACACGCTAAAACGCACACGCACACACTCACACCCAGACACGCACACAGACGCGTGATTCGCGTCGTGTTAAATCATCCGTGATTTCCGGGAACCTGTCGCCCGGATTCCTTCCGCGCGCCGCGCCGCGCGCCGACACTGTGATACCTGCTCTCATTACAAGCGGAAAAGTGACAACGTCCCTCGAACGACCAGACGGGCGAGGTGTATCAAAGTCGTGTTCGGCTGACAGCTCGGGAACACACTGCAGCCCAGCGACTCGGAATGGTCCTTTCGTCGCTCTGTCTCTGTCGCACTCGAGGACCTCTCCGTAAGGGTGCGAGAGAGACAGAGCGAGAACCGCTCTTCTGAATCGCTCGGCTGGCCGGGCAGGCCGGGCTTGATGGATCACTACACGTGCTCGGGACGCGCCTTTTTGACAGTGGGGCGACGCGGGTCAGGGCGATGACGGCCTCGGCGACGTGCTGCTCGCCCAGCAGACTGATTTCCGTCGCTCTGTCTCCCTCGCACCCACAGGACACGCCCCGTGAGTGCGAGAGAGACAGCCAACCCGACGCTGACAAATCAAGGCGCGAGGCTTTCCTCAACGCCAACGTGGCCGTGTACTGCGGGATCGGACGACACCCGAGCCGGCAGAACACCGTGACCCCTGTCCTGGAAATCAAGTAACCGCCTGCGGGTGTCCCGGGGAAATTCCCCTCACCGTTTTTCGTCATCGCCCTGGCGGCGTGCGGCTTCAAAACAAACTGGCTAAGATTGCAGCCAGCTTGTCGCAGAGGCATCTGTCTCTCTCGCACTCGCGGGGCGCCCCGTCGGGGTGCGAGAGAGAGGGCGGCGGGGCGCTGCGCGGAACCAGCTTGCCGGGGAGGGAGAGGCCGGCCCTATCGTTTATTGCGAGAGGGCTGGAGGGTCGGAGCTACGAGTGTTTTGTTGTGAGAAGAGGGTATGAAACGTCAACGTAATGATGTCGCCGAGCCTGATCTGCATTTAGAGACGGGCCGCCGCACGTGCGCCGGCCGGGGCGGGGCGGGGCGGGGCGGGGCGGGGCGGGCAGCAGCAGGGCCTCCTCGGAGGGGCGCAGCGCGGCCGGCAAAAAGTTGTCGGTGCACTGGGGGCTAATTATTGCCCGGCCTGCCGCATTCATCTCGAATCCACAATCACCGCCCACTGCACTGCAAGGCGGGCACGGCGAGGGCCACTCGGCGAAGTTTGAAAGACGGAGGGCCGGCTGCGCTGCCGAAGGGGCCGAGCCGCACGCTTGCGCCACCAAGCCAAGCAAAGAAGAAAATTGCGGCGAGTGTCGTTCACTGTTGGCTGGCCGGGTGGTCGTGGCGGTCGTGGCGGTCGTGGCGGCCCTGGCGGCCCTGGCGGCCCTAATGGACTTGATTCCGATCCAACACTCGAGCCGTTCTATTTCCAGCGCCGTCATTCCTCTGACAATAGGCAGCCCGATGCGCACCTGAGGCCCGGACTCTGTCTCTCTCGCACCGCTGCGGGACGCCGCGAGAGTGCGACGGAGACGGCGACGGTGGTGTCCGCCTGTCGGCGGCGAACGCGCAACCCGACGCGCGCGGTAGAGGCGCGTATCTCCGGGCAGGTGCGGGGCAGTTGCCTGGCCTGGCCGCGAACGCAGTGGCAGCAGTGCCACTGGAACTAAAACCGAGTCCATTAAGGACACCTTTCACTCCCACGACACACACCTCCGCGGTGCAGGCAGCCGCCTCTGTGCGCGGCTGCGCGCTGCACGGTGACTTGACACCATCACTCAGCCACGTTAGCGCTGATGTCACAGAGCCCGTCTCGCTCGCGCGCCCCGACACGTCCCTCTGCCTCCTTCTCGCACCCCCTGATGAGGGTAGTTTATAGACGGCGGTCCATTTACCTCCTTCTTCCCGCACCCCTTCGGGCCGTTTTAAATTTTGGCGCCAAGCGAGGTGCGGCGCAGCTCGTTCCGCGGCCGAACAAATCACCGGGACAACGACGGCCCGCCGCCCAATTAGTCTCTCAAATTAAATTCGAACACGTCGCTCCGTCTCTCTCTCGCCGCTGCGGGACGCGCCGTGAGTGCGAGAGAGACGGAGCACTGCCTCCACTGCCGGGCCTCCGCTCTTGTGCCGCCGCGCGCTTGCCGACGGCAACCTGTTTATAATTAACACGACGTCTCGCCGTCGCGCGGCAAAAAGGCAAAAAACACAGTCTGCCCTCTGCGAAGTGACATAGGGCACTATCCGAATGGATGATTTGGAGCCCCTTCGTTGAAAGTCCAGCATTGAACCCCGTTTTCAAATGTCTTTCCTAGTGCAGGTCCTCCGTCTCAACAGTTTCCATGGGACGGGTATGCATGTAGCCCCAACCACAAACCGACCGATCAGACAATACGATCACCACCGGCGCCTCGGGTGTGCGTGCGTGCTTCTTGTGTTTGTGTGCGTGCCTGTGTATCCATTGCCGCAAAATGATTTATCTCTGCGCGTGTGTAGTGTGTGGGGTGTCTGAATGTGTCAGACGCGCCGCCGCCGCCCCCTCTCCCGGACTCGGGACGCATCGCCGCCTACCGCCCGCACGGCCCGCACCCTCGGCAGGCGGTTGTCATTTTTTAAAGATTTCCTTTTTTGCGGTGCACCTGCCTAACCTAGCCTAACCTCGCC